GTGTGTGTGTGTGTGTGTGTGTGTGTGTGTGTGTGTGTGTGTGTGTGTGTGTGTGTGAGACAAAGCCGCTGTCAGCACATGTCAACGTGTATGTCCACACAGCCTCGCGCATGGATGTTTGTGCACGTGTCTTGCCGCGTTGAGTGTCCGCTTCTGACCAAACCTGTAAAGACCAGTTCGCACTCTGGGTTCTGAGTGTGTGTGGCCCGAATGTGACCCAAACCCAGAGGCGGCTCAGCTATTAAAGGAGTATTAGGACAGAGCTGCTATTACAGCGCCTACAGCACAGCTAAATGGCTGCTTCGACTGCAGACCACCACACAGACACGCTCACGTGTAGTGAGCAGACACGTCTTGTAAAAACATTCCCACACACACACACACACACACACTGCATGAAGGTTCTCCACACCCGAGCACACTTTGAATGTGCTGTCACACAACTTGCATCAATTTATTCTATTCAAAAAAAACAATACAGAACTCTAAAGTGTGCATCTCACTGTGGATTTCTATGTTTCGGTTTCTCATTGTTTCTTGTTCAAAATTTATTTATTTTTTTAACAAAAGGTTAAATAATGTACTGTAGAGCTTGGCAACTTCAAGCTTAACGGACATAATTGAGCAATTAAACAAGGTATAAAGAACTGAAGAAAACGTCCTAAAGATGTGAAGTAAAGCAATAGCAAGAGCTGAATGCAACACGACTCTGCAGCTGAACTATGAGCACCATGCTGAGAGGTGGGAAAAAAGGAATTCCCCGTATGGAAGCAATACAACATCCTATTCATTCAAGACAGAAGATTATGTGTTATAATACAATTCCAGAGCCTGCACTGCCATCTAGAGGAGAAATAATCAGCAACAGGAACGTACAGGACGACTGCGCTGCTTCATTCTGCTCATCTCTATAACCAGGAATGATTATTAAAAGGATATTTGTATTTGTATACTTTTTGAGGGTCATTTTAAATTTTATGCCACGTGAGTGTAGACAAGTTCCTAATTCTTGACATAGGCAGGCTGGTGGTTTCGCTTGAGGTTTATAACGTTTAGACGAACGTATGAAGTAACTTGATGTAAAAAGTTGGAAGCCTGAGCATCCACAAGGACAGGAGTTTGTTTAAGACCACGTTCGACACCCGCAGGATCTGCTCCACAGAGCGGTCAAATCAGAAAACCCGTGGAGACAAAGTCACATTCATTGGGTTTGTGGCATGCACTGCTCACATGTATTGAATAGAGGCTGAGGTATTGGTTTTAATGAGGCCAGACTGTTCTTTCTATCAATCAAATAAACATACACGCACGCACGCACGCACGCACGCACGCACGCACGCACGCACGCACGCACGC